CATGAAATTGAGGAGCATTATCTTTCCACTAAGAGAGATGAATTTGCTTTTCCAACTTGCAAGTTTCTTCTTAAAAGATTCAATGATAGGTTTCAACATGGCAATACTTCTACATTTACCCCTAATCGGCACCCCCAAATATTTACAAGGTAGAACTCCTTGTTTGTAGTTTAGGATAATCGACATTTTATTCATCCATTCATCTGATATATTGATACCCATTAACAAGCTTTTACCAAAGTTAATCTTCAACCCTGAGACAATCTCAAAAATGCTCATAATACTTTTTGTTGCCTAAATATTCTCTTCTAAGGCCATCCCAAACATAATCATGTCATCTACAAATTGTAGATGGGAGACTTTCATACCATGATGACCAATTTCAATCCCCTCAAATAATCCAAGTGAGACTGCTGAGGAAATGATGCTGTTAAGACCCTCGGCAATTATCAAAAATAAGAAGGGGGATAGAGGGTCACCTTGTCTAAGTCCTCTGTGCATCTTAAATTGTCTAGTGGTGGTACCATTGAGTAATACAGATACCTTTATTGTCTTCAAACATTCATAAATCCACCCTCTCCATTTTTGGCCTAAACCCAATCTTAGCATCATATAATCCAAGAACTCCCAATAGGCTTTATCATATGCCTTTTCAAAGTCAAGTTGAAACACAAAACCTATTTTTTTTTTTCCTTTTTTGAGCATCATCTATTGTCTCATTTGCAATCACCACACTGTTAGCAAGTTGCCTTCCCCCAAGAAAAGCCATCTGGTTTTCCCCAATAATACCATTCAAAACTGAAGACAATCTGTGTGCTAACAATTTTGCAATAATCTTATACATGGCACCAACAAGTGAGATTGGTCTAAATTCTTCAATTCTTTGTGGGTTGTCAACTTTTGGTACTAGCATAATGAAGGAACTGTTAATCCCTCTAACCAGTTTTCCATTCTTATGAAAATCATCCACAAACCCCAAAATGTCACCTTTGAAAATCTCCCACATTTCCTTGATAAATTTAAAATTGAACCCATCAAGACCTGGTGCAAACTAGTCCCAACGAAAACCAAGTTTTGATGGGTTCAATTTTAAATTTATCAAGGAAATGTGGGAGGTTTTCAAAGGTGACATTTTGGGGTTTGTGGATGATTTTCATAAGAATGGAAAACTGATTAGAGGGATTAACAGTTCCTTCATTGTGCTAGTACCAAAAGTTGACAACCCACAAAGAATTGAAGAATTTAGACCAATCTCACTTGTTGGTGACATGTATAAGATTATTGCAAAATTGTTAGCACACAGATTGTCTTCAGTTTTGAATGGTATTATTGGGGAAAACCAGGTGGCTTTTCTTGGGGGAAGGCAACTTGCTGACAGTGTGGTGATTGCAAATGAGACAATAGATGATGCTCAAAAAAGGAAAAAAAAAAAAAAAGGTTTTGTGTTTAAACTTGACTTTGAAAAGGCATATGATAAAGCCTATTGAGAGTTCTTGGATTATATGATGCTAAGATTGGGTTTAGGCCAAAAATGGAGGGGGTGGATTTATGAATGTTTGAAGACAACAAAGGTATCTGTATTACTCAATGGTAGCACCACTAGACAATTTAAGATGCACAGAAGACTTAGACAAGGTGACCCTTTATCCCCTTTCTTATTTTTGATAATTGCCAAGGGTCTTAATAGCATCATTTCCTCAGTAGTCTCACTTGGATTATTTAAGGGGATTGAAATTGGTCATCGTGGTATGAAAGTCTCCCATCTACAAATTGCAGATGGCACGATTATGTTTGGGATGGCCTCAAAAGAGAATATTTGGGCAGCAAAAAGTATTATGAGCATTTTTAAGATTGTCTCAAGGTTGAAGATTAACTTTGGTAAAAGCTTGTTAATGGGTATCAATGTATCAGATGAATGGATGAATAAAATGTCGATTATCCTAAACTGCAAACAAGGAGTTCTACCTTGTAAATATTTGGGGGTGCCAATTAGGGGTAAATATAGAAGTATTGCCATGTTGAAACCTATCATTGAATCTTTTAAGAACAAACTGGCAAGTTAGAAAAGCAGATTCATCTCTCTTAGTGGAAAGATAATGCTCCTCAATTCTGTGCTATCTAGTCTACCAGTGTTTAGCATGTTTGTCCATCTACTTCCAAAAGGTTTGATTCTCCTA